ATTTTGAGTGGTTACGTCACGTGTATAATGATACCGTCACATGTCTAAATATAAAACGTCAGACACAGATGTTATTGCAAAATAACACACACTTCCGATTCTTCTATGTTCAATAGGGGAAAATGCGGGTCGTGTTAGAATATTTTATATGTTTTATAATATGCTATATAATTAAAATTAATTTGATTCCGTACTTATTTTTCATCGCATCACAGTTTGAGTGGTTACGTCATTTGTATAATGATTACGTCACATATCTAAATATATAACGTCAAACAGTGATTTTATTGCACACTTTAGGTTCTTCTATGTTCAATAGTGAAAAATGTGGGTCGTGTTTAAATTTATAAAAAAAAAAAATAATTCATATATATAATTAAATAAATTATGCTTTATGATATATTTGTTCTTTAACTATTTCCAACTCGTATGAAGGAAAAGAAGTGTTTAGGTTATATTTCGAAATGTTAAATTAAACTTGCTTAAATTTATTTTTGCCATTAACTTAACCATTACACATGCATCATCTGTCTAGTTTAATTGGATTCTTTAAACCTTTTGAAACCGAGCAATTCATATATCATTTATATAATAGTATCATTATGAATGAATGTTTAATAGTGTAATTTGTATTTAGTCGTCATAGCTACAACTATCAACACATTGGCAATTTCCTAATATCGCACTTTAATTCTAATCTCCGTAAAAATTATTACGAATAAGGCATTTTTTGTCGTTTCACTTTATTTAAAATTAAGTACTAGGAAGCAAAATGATTTTGAAAAAAACGTTTTTGTAACCCATCGTCTGAACCATCGGTACACATTCCGTATTTACTACCGGTGCACGGTAAATAGTCAGTCTTACCGAGGATGTATTTAACAATGAATCAATTGTACTGTTAATAAATGCATTAACTGCATATACATGTATAACGTATGTATCCAAGGCCTTCGTTCGTGTATATAGCCGCCTTTTAAACCTTTTAAGTGTCTCATATTGTCCATCTTTCAATCTGGACAAAACAATTCATCATGTTTGGCTGTTTTTAAAGTTCTGATTCAATAGCGAAAAGTGCAAACTGGTCTGTACTGGTCGCATGGGTTAAGGCAGTTGCTGCCAACTGGCTAAGAGTTAGTTTACCAGGTTTTTTGAAAGAAAAAAATAGTTATTGTCTTCGGTTGGGCGAAAATACTTTATTCTTTGCGTAACACTTCAAAATTTTCTCAATGGACTTCAACTACACGTTTACAAAAGTATTTTGACCAATTGCCTTAGCGCAAATTATCAGGGTTTACAAGGTTCCCAAGAAGTAGTACCAGTATATATATACAAGTTGCAAGATAAGATTCGTAAAAAACCCCACTGGGTTGCAAATGTTTGCTAACTGTAGTATATATAGATCAGTAATTGTTATTTTTAGATTAATTCCGATACGAAAGACTATTATTATAAGGTTATTGTACATTGTTGAGTCCAATACTGATCTATTGGGCGAGTACGCAGCTGTCAAACCATTATTGGACGCGACATTAGCCGAGTATGATATAGATTTTGCAGCTGTTTTGCACGAGAATCAGTGTTCAGTTTTCATTAGTGGATAATAACCTCGTTATTATAGTTGATCATTGTTTTTCAAGTACAATAAGGAATTGATATAAGTTTTATCCTGAAAAGAGAAAATTGATAAGATTGAATCCAATAATCATTTTTATTGAAACAATGACATCTTAACCCTTGTTTAAAGTTGAATTGTAATTATTATTTATCTATTGATATACCATTTATATGTAAGAAATACCTGGCACGTTTTGAGTGCTCTAACCATATGTTAAACATAGAAATGGGACATAACATTGGTATTGAGAAGTCAGACGCAATGTACTTATTTAAAATTAAGAACTAGGAAATATATTAATTTTGACAATGCTATCCTTGACATAACTTAAGATTAACCTCTTCCATCACCAGGAGCAAACAAACATGCTAATTTATCGACCGCTACATTAATTCGTCAACCAATAATTTTATAAATATATATCATCCATTTTATTTTTTATAGTTTTAAAAGAAAAAAAAGATAGTTTATATACTTTATGAAATTTATGTTTTTGATTCGTATGTATATAAAAATCCTGATCAGACTGCGCGGATGCGTAGGCTGGTCTGGATCCATGCTGGTCGCAAACGCACTATGTTGGTTTTGTCGTGACGCGGCTCAAATAGTTTTTTTGCTTTACCCGTACCTTTACATTAAACAGGTACAAAATATCAAAATACACAGTTTGCATAGCATATTAAAATTTTAGTTCATAAAAGAAATGATAACTAATACGTTTTTTACGGAAAACTATGTTTTGAAGAGAATATAGTCAAATCTGATACAAAAGAAAAAAACAACATAAAACCATGAACAGAAAATATAGAATTTGTTTGAATAGGTTTTGTTTGTTTGTTTGATTGGGTTTTACGTCACATGGACACAGTATAGGTCATTTGGCGACGTTCCAGCTTTACTGGTACAGGAAGACCTCAGGTGCCCTTCCGTGCATTATTTCAGGCACGAACGAGCAACTGAGTAGAACCACCGACGTCCCGTAAGCTAGCGGGATAGCTTCCTCACAAGTCCCTGTCGGGATTCGAACACACAGTGGTGAGGGGCAAGTGATGTTTGAATTTGTTTGAATATATTGTTACTTGGTTATCACATATAATAAACGAACCAACAACAATTTTGAAAATTTGAGAGAACAAACATTTATACCTATGTACTCAATAGAGACAAAATGTATAAAATGAAGTTTGTATATTTAAAACAATATTTAACATACGGATTTTATCGTGCACTTTTGTCGTTACTAGGTCTACATTTTCCCTTTCGATATTAATTAAAATAAATCGTATAAATATATTAATCATAATTTAAAGTACTGTTTAATTTTGTATATCTAGAAACAGTTGAAGTTTAATGCCCTTTCTAGTAGTGTAACCTACATTTCAGTAAGTACTGTATAGCGCATTATATCTGCGGTGTCAAATGTTGGCGTTTTTTAAAGTGTTTTGAATTGGCGGGGTCATAAATTGGCGCAAACGCTTTTAGACCGCCAAATTAAAACACTTGTTGGCATAAATATGGGGTCATGAATTGGCGATTACAAATAAAGAATAAAAAAATAAATAAAAATAACACCGGTCACGCAGTAGTTGACTGTCCTCGTTTATTTTACGGCATACGGTATACCTATGCTTGGTCACCTTTATCTTTACATCGTGCTAATTCTTATAATTAACTTATAATTAACTGGGATCAGACAGGTGTAAATATGGTACCGTGTGGTAACTGGACCATGGAAGAGAAAGGTATGCCCTATTATCCTGCAGTCTTTAAAGCGTGAAAAATTGTTCACGGTCACCACAACTGATTGCTATATAATAACAGTTATCATTAGTTTTATTTCAAATTATGAAACATAACAGTGAAAACAAAACAAATACTAGTTTACTTAAATTCGATAATAAATGACATTTAGATTTGTTTCTCGTCGTGTGATCATCTTCGTAATAAATACAGTATATAGATATATAATTAAATGAGTTTCGTACCAAGACTTAAAAATAAACAAATTCTTTTCAGCTTACTTGTAATGTTTATTTTTATTACAAATAATCAAGGGAGATTACTCGGACAAACCAAAGCTATTTTACCATGAGTTGTCTACCTTTTAAAGAATAACGGCGATGATCTAAAATGGCGGTGCTTTAAATTTGTATGATTCTCCTTGTAGTTTGATTACTCGGAAATAAATCTGCAAAAAATCAATAATTATTAGTAGTTTTAACTCCGGATCACGACAGTATGCCACAATGAATTTACCAGAGCACCGTTCAGCCACCGCTTGGGCAGGCTGTACATGCCAGAGCAGAGGTACAATGCGCATGTCCGTAGAAAGAATTTCATGATCAAGCACAATGAAAGTGACCTCCATCGTCCGGGAATCGAACCCAGGTTGCCCGATTCACAGTCCAACACTCTACCTACTGAGCTGACCGGACGACTCAGCAGTAAGCAGGTACAATGTATATCAAATACGGAGGGAATGATCTGATCGTTGCACGCAAGTTATGAGTCCAGACCTACATCAAATGGTACTTACATCTTGAATAAAAATATTCCAGTTTCATCAGGACCAAAAATCCTGATTAGAGGCCTTTTAAATAAGTTAGTGCTGACGTAAAAGTTAAAGGCCCATTTCGTCTCAAAAAAGGCATTATTTTTCTTTCTCAATTTTTTTTTAATTTTGGTTTAATTAAATAGTATTCAAAAAGTTACTCTTTGATCAATAACTGGAAAAATCTTTTCATATGTTGTTTTTTGACAATAAGTACAGTTGTAGTCAATAAATATTTTGTATGGATGTCAAAATACTACTTTGTTTTGATTTTTCTAATTTTATGACAAATAATTTTACATTTATTGCTACTTTTGCAGGTAACAAGCATCTAATATTTCTCTAAAATCTTTTTATAAAAAGTATACATGTTGGCATAATGTGCCTTTAAAGTATTTTATACAACTTTGATGATAAATTCCTTATTCCCCATCTTTAAATGGTTTAACTGACATATATGTTTTTAGTTAACCTTACAACATTTCCTTGTATATATAAAATATAGATTTTGCAAGATTGTGGTAACATAAGATTTGTTTGATAAAACGGAGTGTACAAACTAAGTTTCATTAAGTTTTTCAAAATTTAATTTATTTTTAGAAACAGTTAACTACTCGTGTTTGATATCTTTTCAAAACAGAGCTATCATCATCATCCCCTTAATGCATAATCTTACAGCTATCTTCTGTCACCAATAGATGGACCTTGATGTCTATACAAGCAAAGACATACAAAAAAAAATTAAAAAGCTGATCATTCATTTCCTGGAAGAAATTACGTTAGTTTGTATAAATCAACACTTTGTTTTCTTCTTAAACCACAAACGACATGCGGATATATACAACGTTAAATGTTGCATATAACGGTTGTAAATAAGATGTTATGATATATAAAGGTAAAGAAACATTAAATTGTGAACTCGCTCGCTGTAAGTATACAGGATTTAATTACGTAATCCTTTCGTAATCGAATTTATTATCGCTAAGACTGGCGTAACACATTGTTTGAAAATGCAGACGAAAAACTACATTAAACTGTTTTTAGTTTTATGTATGTGCTATACAGTTGTTGGAATAGATACGTCAATAGTCCGGCAAACGTTTGTCAAGAATTGGCTTCAGACAATAGGAAATGGGTCAGCCATATCTGTTGATGATATAAAACTTTACTTTAAACAGCAATTATGGACTGATCACACTGGGAATAACTTGTCGGATTGTCGTGGCACAGACTTTACCGGTCAATCAAGTAATTCTGTTGAAAACTGTTTACTGCATCAGGTACTTATACAAAACTTTCTTTGTTACTTAGTTACAAAATCTTCAAACGTACTTGTATGTATCATTTAGAATAATTTGGTGAAAGAAAAAAAAATATCTCAATTGCTGAAATGCATGTCTGGCTAATGGTTGAGATAAATAATTGCGGTATTGAATGTCTAAAAGTTATATCGCATTAAATTGATGAAGGGCAAATCATGTTATCATTAAAAGTATATTTAAAAAAACAGCGTTAATATAATAATTAAAACGGGGACCCAGCACGGTGAAAATGAAAAATCTACCCTATAAGCCCCTATAACAAGCATTTAAACTTGAAAAAGTTATTGAACATCTGCAAATGTATTCATACGTTCAATGCAACATCATTTTCATGACATTACCCTGACAAGTGGTGTATGGTCACCAAACAAATTGGTGTTTCCAAGTAGAAAGGTATAATTAATACATGTAGCTAGTCGAATATTTTTTTCCTTAGTAAAATTCCGTTTTCAAATCTTTAAATCAATTAGTAATTATCATTTTGTACAATATATTTTTTTTCAATTTAACTTAAAGGAACACAGTTAACTTAAACACCTTGTCAAGTAGGATATTGTCAAAAGAAAATCCAAAAATATATATGCGATGTCATGAATTCACGTTTGAAATAGTATTTTCTGTAAGGCAAAGCTTAAAATTGAAAGACTTAATTTAAATTTGTTAGACAAAACTTAGAATTACAAGACCAAATTTAAAACTGTCATGGATCCTTTAATTTGACACTAATTGCCATTACATGAAAAGCGACTTATGGTCCCCCAATTAAAAGAATGCGTGTGCCCTACCTAAACGAAAAAAACAATAGACGGAACCAAATAAAATGGAATTTTGAAAGGGGATCTTAGGTTATGAAGCCTGCATATCATAGATAGGCTGTCAAAAGACAAATTAAAATGCAGGCAGTGTGATCAAACAGTATTCAAGTGGGAAATACTCGAGTTGAACGATCTTCAAGGATCGGAAAATATAGAAAACGGTCAAAAAGGAAGAACAAAAAAAACGCAAACGCAACCATAATGTCGCGCTGAACGATACCTGATCGGATGTAAAGGGCGACTTTTTACGGCCTTTACACGCGCAAAGAACGCTGATGACGAATCTAATTGAATGGATTCTATAATTTTATATCTTCTTTGGATACGACAATCGGAAGTAAAGACAAAATATGTACAATAGTCTTTCACCTCGATTAGTTTACTTAGCTGTTTGTTAGAGGGTTTAGAATTTTACAGTTTCAAAGATGATATCGATAGAAGAAGACAAGCACTAATCTTGTTTGGCAAGAGTCATGTTTTGTATTAACTCCATCCAGTAGAAATCTCATCCAGAATTAACTTTGTCAATAGTTGATAATACCTGTTCAAAGCGTATGTCACGCCTTCAAATTTATGTTAACGGTTAGAAAAAAATGTGATAAAATTTAATTCTCTCAAACTTTGAATTAAACTTGAAATGCGTACGTTTACCGTAAATTTCTTAAAGGCACTTTATGAATCAGAAAAAAAATATATCAAATATAATAACTATGCTTTATAATATGTTTCTTCTTTAACTATTTCCAACTCGTATGAAGGAAAAGAACTGTTTAGGTTATCTTTCGAAATGTTAAATTAAACTTGCTTTAATTTATTTTGGAAATTAACTTAACTATTACACATGCATCTTCTGTATAGTTTAATTAGATTCTTTAAACCTTTTGAAAGCAATTCATATATCATTTATTTAATAGTAACATTATGAATGAATGTTTAATAGTGTAATCTGTATAAAGTCGTCATAGCTACAACAATCAGCACATTGGCAATTTGTAAATATCGCACTTTAATTCTAATCTCCGTTACATTAATACGAATAAGGCATTTTTTGTCATTTCACTTTATTTTAAATTAAGTACTAGGAAGCAAAATGATTTTGAAAACTTTTTTGTAACGCATCGTCTGAACCAACGGTACACATTCCATATTTACTAGTGGTGCACGGTAAATAGTCAGTCTTACCGAGGATGTATTTACCAATGAATCAATTGTATTGTTAATAAATGCATTAACTGCATATTCATGTATAACGTAGGTATCCAAGGCCTTCGGTTGTGTATATAGCCGCCTTTTAAACCTTTTAAGTGTCTCATATTGTTCATCTTTCAATCTGGACAAAACCATTCACCATGTTTGGATGTTTTTAAAGTTCTGATTCAATAGCGAAAAGTGCAAACTGGTCTGCACTGGTCGCATGGGTTAAGGCAGTTGCTGCCAACTGGCTAAAAGTTAGTTTACCAGGTTTTTTTTTGATAGAAAAGAATAGTTATTGTCTTCGGATGGGCGCAAATACTTTTTCTTCGCGTAACACTTTCAAATTTTCTCAGCGGAATTCAACTACACGTTTACAAAAGTATTTTGACCAACTGCCTTAGCGCAAATTATCAGGGTAACAAGGTTCCCAAGAAGTAGTACCAGTATGTACAGTTGCAGCAAGATAAGATTCGGAAAAAAACGCACTGGGTTGCAAATGTTTGCTAACTGTAGTATATAAAGATATAGTTATTGTTATGTTTAGATTAATTCCGGTACAAAATACTATTATTATAAGGTTATTGTACATTGTTGAGTCCAATACTGAATCTATTGGGCGGGTACGCAGCTGTCAAACCATTATTGGACGTGACACTAGCCGAGTATGATATCTATTTTGCAGCTGCTTTGCACAAGAATCAGTGTTCAGTTTTTATTAGTGGATAATAGCCTCGTTATTTCATAGTTGATCATTGTTTTCAAGTACAATAAGGAATTTATATTAGTTTTCCTGAAAAAAGAAAATGAAGCTACATTTAGATGGAATACGATATGGATTTGATATAGGTATTTTGGACTCTAAAAATTAAAACGAGTCTATATCTATATTTTTGAACTTTGAAATTGGAATCAAGAGAAAATTGATAAGATTGAATCCAATAATTATTTTTATTGAAACACATACATCTTAACCCTTGTTTAATGTTGAATAGTAATTATTATTTATCTAGTGATATACCCTTTTTATGTAAGAAATACCTGGCACGTTTCGAGTGCTCCAACCATATGTTAAACATAATTGAACATTAAATTGGTATTGGAAAGTCAGACACATTGTGCTTATTTAAAATTAAAAACAAGGAAACATATTAATTTTGACAATATTATCCTTGACATGACTTAAGATTAACCTCTTCCATCAACAGGAGCAAACAAACATGCTAATGTATCGACCGCTACATTAATTCGTGAATCAATGTAATAATTTTATAAATCTGTATCATTCATTTTTTTTATTTATACAATGTTTAAAACGAGTCTATATCTATATTTTTGAACTCTGAACTTGGAATCAAGAGAAAATTGATAAGATTGAATTTTAAAAGAAAAAAAAGGATAGTTTATATACTTTATGAAATTAATGTTTCTGATTCGTATGTATATAAAACAGAGTTCAGATTAAAGTACGGTCACACATAAAATAACAGGTGTTTATCATAATATAGTGTTGTTTTCTTTTTTGCTTTACCCATACTTTTAAATTAAACAGGTACAAATATCAAAATAGACAGTTTGCATAGCTGATTAAATTTAGTCCATGAAAGAAAGGATAATTAATACGTTTTATACGGAAAACTATGTTTTGAAGAGGATATAGTCAAATCTGATACAATAAAAACATAAACAGAAAATATAGAATTTGTTTGAATAGGTTTTGTTTGTTTGTTTTATTGGGTTTTACGTCCTACCGGCACAGTATAGGTCATTTGGCGACATTCCAGCTTTACTGGTGGAGGAAGACCTCAGGTGCCCTGAACGGGCAACTGAGTAGAACCACCGACGTTCCGTAAGCTAGCGGGATAGCTTCCTCACATGAAAAAATCCAAATTCCCTGTCGGGATTCGAACCCACAGCGGTGAGGGGCAAGTGGTGATTTAAGGTTCATATATTGTTACTTGGTTATATTGTTACTTGGTTATCACATATAATAAACGAACCAACATAAATTTTGAAATTTTGAGAGGACAAACATTTATACCTATGTACTCAATAGAGACAAAATGTATAAACTGAAGTTTGTATATTTAAAACAATATTTAACATACGAATTTTATCGTGTACTATTGTCGTTAGTAGGTCTACATTTTCCCTTTCGAAATTAATTAAAATATATCGTATAAATGTATTACTCACAATTTAAAGTACTGCTCACTTTTGTATATCTAGAAGCAGTTGCAGTTGTATGCCCTTTTTAGTAGTGTAACCCACATTTCAGTAAGTATATAAATCTTCTAATTCGACAGATATTCATCTAAGTGATAAAAGTAAAAAGTCAAAGCAATGAAAGAATTTTTAGCAATGAAAAGGGGTGTTACTTAAATAACACACAATGTAAAGAATACGTAAATTGATATTAATATTAATAGAACTGACGCGTTCTGATAAGAAGAGTTTTTCTTCTGTCTAAACTTGTTTAGACATATTTTCAAAAATGCAATGTTGCAGATCTTTGAAAGATTAGGTCGATACATTGACAAAAAGTGAAATGTGAAATTTTAAATGAAGTAATATTCTTATTATAAAAAATTTTATGCAGCAAATTATATCATTCTTCAAAGTTAAGCGGAATTCGCATCGTCGCGTTATGTTCTAGTAAGTAGATGTAGTTCAACCTACTTTATAGATTTATATCATGTGTTTATTAATGTTATTTTATAACTTATGTTAATATATATTTCAAATCGGTGTACGACATGTTTAGCATTTGCCGAAATTACATTAAAATTTCTGTATCCGTCCCATCTAAAACAGGTTATTTGTATGATGATGATGTATGATTCCCCTTGTAGTTTGATTACTCGAAAATATTTCTCCAAAAAATCAATAATATTTGGTAGTTTTATCTCCGGATCACGGCAGTAAGCCACATTGTATTTACCAGAGCAGAGTTCAGCCACCGCTGGAGCAGGCTATCAAGAAATTGGCCAGTACAAGTTGCCTTGCCTTCAATCTCGCAAAGAACTGTACATATGTACATGCCAGAGCAGAGGTACAGTGCGAATGTCCGTAGAAAGAATTTCATGATCAAGCACAACGAAAGTGACCTCCATCGTCCGGGAATCGAACCCAGGTTGCCCGATTTACAGTCCAACACTCAACCTACTGAGCTTACCGGACGGCTCAGCAGTAAGCATGTATATCAAATACGGAGGGAATAATCTGAAATGTTGCACGCAAGTTATTAGTCCAGACCTACATGGAATGGTACATACATCTTGAATAAAAATATTCCAGTTTCATCAAGACCAAACAGCCTGATTAGAGGCCTTTTAAATAAGTTAGTGCTCACGTAAAAGTTAAAGGCCCATAACGCCTAAAAAAGGCATTTTTTTATTTCTCAAAATATTTTTAATTTTTGTTTAATTAAATGGTATTCAAAAAGTTACTTTTTGGTCAATAACTGGAAAAAACTGTTCATATGTTGTTGTTTTTTTTTGACAATAAGTCCAGCTGTAGTAAATTAATATTTAGTATGGATCTAAAAATTATACTTTGTTTTGATTTTGCTACTTTTAAGACAAATAATTTCACATTTATTGCTTCTTTTGCAGGTAACAAGCATCTCATATTTCTCTGAACCCATTTTTTTGTAAATATTATGATTAGTTTACTTTGCAGTTGGTAAGAGGGTTTAGATATTTACAGTTTCAAAGATGATATCGATAGAAGAAGACACGCACTATCCTGTTTGGCAAGAGTCATGTTTTGTAGTTACTCCATCCAGTAGAAATCTCATCCAAAATTAATTTTGTCAATAGTTGTTAATACCTGTTCAAAGCGTATGTCACGCCTTCAAATTTATGTTAACGGTTAGAAAAAAAATGTGATAAAATTTAATTCTCTCAAACTTTGAGTAAAACTTGAAATGCGTACGTTTACCGTAAATCTCTTTAAGGCACTTTATGAATTAGAAAAAAAATATAATAATTATGCTTTATAATATGTTTGTTCATTAACTATTTCCAACTCGTATGAAGGAAAAGAACTGTTTAAGTTATGTTACGAAATGTTAAATTGAATTTGTTTTAATTTATTTTGGACATTAACTTAACCATTACACATGCATCATCTGTCTAGTTTAATTAGATTCTTTAAACCTTTTGAAACCGAGCAATTCATATATCATTTATTTAATAGTAACATTATGAATGAATGTTTAATAGTGTAATCTGTATAACGTCGTCATAGCTACAACAATCACCACTTTGGCAATTTGTAAATATCGCACTTTAATTCTAATCTCCGTAAAATTATTACGAATAAGGCATTTTTTGTCATTTCACTTTATTTTAAATTTAGTACTAGGAAGCAAAATGATTTTTAAAACTTTTTTGTAACGCATCGTCTGAACCAACGGTACACATTCCGTATTTACTACTGGTGCACGGTAAATAGTCAGTCTTACCGAGGATGTATTTTACAATGAATCAATTGTACTGTTAATAAATGCATTAAATGCATATACATGTATAACGTAAATGTTTGCTATAAAGATATAGTTATTGTGTTGTTTAGATTAATTCCGATACGAAAGACTATTTTTATAAGATTATTGTACATTGTTGAGCCCAATACTGAATCTATTGGGCGAGTACACAGCTGTCAAACCATTATTGAACGTAACACTAGCCGAGTATGATATAAATTGTGCAGCTGTTTTGCACGAGAATCAGTGTTCAGTGTCTGAAAAAAGAAAATGAAGCTAGATGGAATACGATATGGATTTGATATAGGTATTTTGGACTCTAAAAATGAAAACGAGTCTATATATATATTTTTGAACTCTAAAATTGGAATCAAGAGAAATTGATAAGATTGAATCCAATAATTATATTTATTGAAACACATACATCTTAACCTTTGTTAAATGTTGAATAGTTAAACATAGAAATTGGACATTACATTGGTATTGAGAAGGCAGACATAATGTGCTTATTTAAAATTAAGAACTAGGAAACATATTAATTTTGACAACACTATCCTTGACATGACTTCAGATTAAACTCTCCCATTATCAGGAGCAAACAAACGTGCTAATGTATCGACCGCTACATTAATTCGTGAATCAATATAATAATTTTATAAACATGTATCATTCATTTTCTATTTAATTTTTGAAGAAAAGGAAAAGATATATACGGTAAATACGGAAACTTTATTTTGAAAGGAATATAGTCAAATCTTATGAAAAACATGAACAGAACATATAGAATTTGATTGAATGGGTAAATATATTGATACTAGGTTAGCACATACAATAAACGAAAGAACATAAATTTTGGAAATTAGAGATCTTCCGAGAGGACGAACATTTATATCTATGTACTAAACTGAGACAAAACAAAAAATATCAGTATAAACTGAAGTATTGAATATACAAAGCAACATTTAACATACTAATTTTATCGTGCACTATTATCGTTAGTAGAATTTTATTTTCCCTTTGGAAATTAATTAAATATATCGTATAAATATATTACTCATAATTTAAAATACTGCTTTTTTTGTAAATCTAGAAGCAGTTAAATTTGTATGCCCTTTTTAGTAGTGTAATTCGACAGATATTCATCTTAGTGATAAAAGTAAAAAGTCAAAGCAATAAAAGGAATTTAAGCAATGAAAAGGGGTGTTACTTATATAACACAAAATGTAAAGTATACGTAAATTGATAATATTAATAAAACTGACGCGTTCCGATAAAAAAGTTTTTCTTCTGTCTATACTTGATTCGAACTATTTTCAAAAAAGCAATGTTGCACATCTTTGAAAGATTAGGCCGATACATTGACAAAAAGTGCTTAAATTGAAGTAATATTTCTGACTGCACTTAATATAAAATATCTTATTCAACAAAGTATATCATTCTTGTAAGTAAAGCGGTATTCGCAGCGTCGTTTTATGTTCTACTTATAAGATGTAGTTCAACCTACTGTATAGACTCATATTATGGGTTTATTAATGTAATTTTATTACAGATGTTACACATATAAAATTGGTGTACGACATGTTTGCATTTGCTAAAATAACATTAAAATTTCAGTATCTGTTCCATCTAAAACATGTTATTTGTATGATGGTGATGTATGATTCTCCTTGTAGTTTGATTCCTCGAAAATAAATCTGCAAAAAAAAACAATAATTATTAGTAGTTTTAACTCTGGATCACGGCAGTTAGCCACATTGAATTTACCAGAGCACCGTTCAGCCACCGCTTGGACAGGCTGTCAAGAAATTTGCCAGTACAAGTTGCCTTGCCTTCAATCGCGCAAGGAACTGTACATATGTACATGCCAGAGCAGAGGTACAGTGCGAATGTCCGTAGAAAGAATTTCATGATCAATCACAACGAAATTGACCTGTACCGTCCGGCAATCGGACCCAGGTTGCCCTGGGACGGAGCGAATTACAAATATTATTTGAACTTGTGGTCCAACCTTTTTCTTTTAAGATGTATTTTTATATTTTTTCTATATATTTGTATTGTACATCTTGTAAAAAAATGAAACGAATAAAATATGTTTAAACTACACTATTCACAGTCCCACGCTCTACCTACTGGGCTAACCGGACGGGTCAGCAGTAAGCGTGTTTTGTTGACAGCTTTAGTATAAACGCATCCAAACTCGATATCAAATATGGAGCGCTTAGAATACCCATTACTGCGCTACTATGGAATCCTTTTTATCCGGTTTTAACTGTTTATTTGATATTTTAAAGAAAGACTTCGTTGGAGTTTTTATACACCTAATTTCGAATATTTCAAATGAATCTTAGTACTTATAAAAATAATAAAAGCACAAAATATCACAATTTTACATTTTTTTTTCCGAATAGCTATCATACATTGCTTAGAAGGATGCTATCTATGAAAGTGTCTTACAATTCATTAAGACTAGCGGGGCATTCTAAATCATTTGAGTGTGAGATATTAGAATAATTAAAAAATCTCAGAATAGTCCCGGAGTTCTTTTCCAAACTGTATACGGGATGTTCTAAAAAAAACGCAGACTTTTTAAATAACTCTGCCGTTTTTATGTCATTACTAAAATGCAACACTGTTAGAATTGATAGTTTATCCACGATTAATATTTGTGTTTTCGTAGAAAACAAAATAACAAAAAATACATAAACATGAAGAATTTAAACATACAGCCATCATACGCCTGCTCACGGTGAACGTTAATTTAGTTCGACATCGGAAAATACTCGCCGAAAATCTAGGATTAGAGTGAAGAAGTATACCCTGCCTTAAAGCTACAACTTACCTACAAATTAACAGAACAACACGTACCAGTCAGTATATTACCTATTTTTCTCATTTGTTATGTATTTAATTGATATACATCATGTTCTTTTCAGTGTTTATCACCAGCAGATCTTTACTCCTTTTCCGGCTTACAAAATGCTTCCACTGCCACAGAGGTCTCGACCCTGTCCATGATATTACTGCATAACTGGCAGAAAAAGACATGTGCGGAAAACTTTGCAGATGATAACGATCAGCATGATTCCGATCCGGTTTCAAGAAGTGAAAGTAGGATTTACATCGAATTAAAGATTGCTGCAGTTTTGGGGGATGCGTTCGTTGAATACTGTCGTTACTTGTTGATCTTGTTTTTCATATTAACATCATAATTATATAAATATAAATTTTAAACCGAGATTCATTTTATCTAAAGTAGAAAAACTGTAAGATGCTGTAAGCATATAAAGATTTTAGCTATAAACTTCCAATGAAATGACATATTTATAGAAAAGGTTTGTTTTAAAGATTAGTTACGATTTTATTTCAGTCTTGAACACGGATGCTCCGTAGGTACAATACTTGCAAATTAAATGCTCATTAAACTATATATGTAACCAAACAACAACACTTTTTACATTATATAGCTAACATTTATCAGGTTAGTATTTTTATTTTTTATTATTTAACAGTTGGCAACCAACGGATAACGTTATATTTTATGTTTTATTACTTTACTACAGCCGCCGGTGGCCGAGTTGTAAGCTATTTGCTCACCATAATATAAAAAAATGAAAAACAAATATTTTCAGCATGGGGGTATGGAATCCTTTGTTCTTCCATAATTGTTCTAGCGGCACTTGGTGGATTCCTGGCCCTTCCATTTATTCACGGAGTCAACTATAAAAGGACGTTGATATTTATGGTGGGTCTTGCTGTGGGGACACTTGCAGGAAGCAGCTTATTATTTCTGATTCCAGAGGTACAGATCCTATAAGATACCATGACAATAGATATAACATAACATAAAAGCTTATTTCTTTATATAACCACGCATACTGTGTATTAAAGCGACATAATCATTCTTATTTCTTTATATAACTAACGTTTAATATACCAAATCCTCCAAATTTGGCGATTCTCTCATTTTACGATGTTTTATGGCCTGTTACATCATATATGATTGTTTTTTAAGTTTGAATGCTGAACTCTGATTAACCCGTTGCTAGGGGGCGTGGATGGTGGCTTGTACATTCAAAGTACTGCCCATGAACAAGCTCAATCAAATCGAGCCTGTAACATTATCTACTTTTCTTTCTTGTGTGTTCTGTAAGGAGTCCGTTTTTCTCTATTTTATTACAACATTTGATAAAATGAATCTTAAAGCCGTTCTCAGATCATAGAGTCATTTTTAAAACTCACCCAACACTGTCTAATACGAGTTTTATATAACTGTTCGTGTAATGACACCTCATAAAAAACTATATACATGTAAAGTTATTTCGATAAAACATTAAAATTTTTTTTTTCTTTTGTTGGCAATATCTATTTGATTTAACTGGTACTTTAAGGCGTACATTTCTGGTGTGAAAATCATGCGTGCCCTGTCATTTGCAGTCCAGATTATAAGGTATTTCTTTAAATAAACGAATACAAGTATAATGTTATACATGTTCTTTAATTGAGCCTCATTTCGTCAAAGTTACAATCCAATCCCTTTTTATAATTCAATTTCTGAGGTAAAATCAATACGCTGGTTTTTAAATAGATTTTTTGAAATAAATAATTAAATACATCGATCAAAAATTATTAAAGTGGATCTTCTAAAACCTTTCAGGCGCTTGAACTTACAGAGCAGGAGTTAGACAGAGATAGCTACCTATGGAAGTGTCTGGTTGTAATAGGGGCTATCTACATATTCTTTATAATTGAAAGACTTTTGAAAATATTTTCACACAAGAAAGAGGTAAGTAGCCTCTTTTATCTTCTTTTGTTTTCTTGACTATGGTAAAACAACAGAAGATGGGCTGCATTTTTGGCGGCATTATAGGTCTAGAACTATTTTCTCGTATTTTGGCTGTCCTTACTTATTTTTGATCTGTATGCTTAGGAACGGTTATTTCCGATATTTATTATCCCCCGCCGATTGAATCGGGAGGGGATATGGTTTTGGTGTTGTCCGTCGTCAGTCCTTTCGTCCTTCAATCCATCCGTCTATCCGAATTTCGTTTCCGCATCAGTTCTCTGCAGCTTCTGGCTGGAATACAACGGAACTTTATGAGAATCATCCATATCAAAATAAGATGCGCATATCGTCGTCTTTTTTCGGTCAGAACTCCTTTATATCACAGTTATGGTCCTTGATTAGTTATGCAGTATGCATATTAAGCAAAAAATTGTTTCCGCGCTACTTCTCTGCAATTACTGGCTAGAATTCAACAACACTTTACGGGAACCTACAATACCAAGAGGAGATATATCGTCGCCTTGTTCCGGTCAGACACTTTAACTCAGAGTTATGGCCCTTGATTTGTTATGCAGTATGCATATAGAACGATATTCGTTTCCGCGCTACTTCTCTAGAGATACTGGCTTGAATTCAATTAAACATTACGGGAACCTTCAATACCAAAAGGAGATGCGCGTATTGTCGCCTTGTTTCGGTCAGACATTTTAACAGTTATGGCCCTTGATTAGTTATGCAGTATGCATATAGAGCAAACTTTATGGGAACCTTCAATACCAAGAGGAGATGCGCATATCATTACCTTGTTCCGGTCAGACACTTTAACTCAGAGTTATGGCACTTGATTAGTTATGCAGTATGCATATAGAGCAATATTGCTATTTCTTTGCAACTGCTGTATTGATTTCAACAAAACGTTTTGGCAACCATCGATGCAAAAGGCAATTTTCATATCATTGACATGTCCAGATTTTACTATTTAACACGGAGTTATGTCTCTGTTATTGCCCTGAACATTTATCATGAACAAATACTTTTACTGTTTATGCCATGATAATTATATAAATAAAGCCTTATGTCTTCAGTTGTTGTGTTAGTAATAACCAGTACTCGGCGGGGGATATAAATTCAACGATTTTGTTTGTTTCTAAATATTTAATACTCCTTAATTAGTGGTCGTAAGAAATGTCCCATTCTCCTTGGTATTTCATCAAAAAATCAATTCAACCGGTCTTGATATTAAATTTTACACTTTAATTAACTTAGTATTCAACTTGACTTTTCAGATTTATTCTTTGTTGTGACTACTGATTTTTGGTTTCAAAATATTATATTTTTAATATCATTCAGTGTTACATACGTATCACAAAGTATTCACATTATTTCTCTGAATTATCTGATCTTCACTTTAATCGAGTGATTTTCGTAAAAAAGTGGGACATGTACTCGTATATATAGCTCAGCTCGTTTGCCTTTTGCGTGAATTTGAAATAACAAAACATATCCTTAACGACAACTTACAAACCTATAATGTGTAAATGCTGTTTTTTTAAAGAAAGTTTTTTTACAGAAGAGCAGAAAAGAAAAAGAACTCCACAAGGAAATTCACAGCGGTCGTTTCGGAACAACTCCCTCAGATACAAAGTTTAGAGAGCCCAAACTGACCTCATTGCAGAAGATATCTGAGTCGTCAACATCTTCGTTAAATAACCTAACTGATTTTCAAGATGTTTCCACCATATCTGGCTCTGTGTCAGAGGTAATATAATATATAATGTTTTTGTTTTGTTTTACGTCGAACCATCACATTGTAGGTCATATGGCGACTATCCGGCTACTGGTGGAGGGAGACCACATGTTATTTTAGGCACGAACGCGCACTTAAATAGAAGCACTGACGTTCCGTAGCTTCCTCACATAAAAGAAACCGCAGTCCCTGTCGGGATTCAAACACACAACTTTAAAAGCCAAATAGTTTTGAAGTCAACGACTTTAAGCATTTTGCATTTAACGCCAATGCAAGGGTTTGTAAATAAAGGTAACATATTTTCTGGTGACTTCAGTATACTTTAAACAAATGTTATAACTTGTTAAAAGTTTGGTTCTATATTTCTGCAATAAACCTCCTGGTTAAGTAAAATGTATAAGTTTACTATACAATGTGCTTGATTTGATATGTGCGCATGAAAATTCTATTAAAATATACACATTGTTTCAATATTTCCATTTTGATGAAGAGCCGAGATGCAATTTAAATAAAGTTCTTACTCGAGTTTCTAAAGTAGTCTATAAATATTGCTGATCTTTCTTTTCTTTCCGGTTAACGTGACACAGCAAGTTCTTACATGCATAACAATTTCGATTAATTATGAGCATCACGAAATTATTATTTGATATACGTGATTAACAGAAAAGGACAAAAGATTAGTGAAACATTATACATAGTTTATATATAGAAATTGACCTGAACGCGCGGAACTATAAGAATCGTACACTTCCGTCAAAGCACGAAGACCAAGGGGTTTTCTTTAATGGTTGAACCATAAGAATTGCAGTCAACGTTTATCCCTGCGTGATCGTAAAAGGGGACTAAATAGGTTCGAACAACTGGAGTCTTTGCAGCATGTGAGGTGGTTTTGACTCCTGATAATGCTTTGAAATTTGTAAAAACCCGAGGTTAGCCAAACTCGTCTTTGCTGTTTCGGCGCCAGATGTCTTATACACAAACGAACGAAAACTAAGGGATCTAAATTACGTAGCATAATACCACATTTATGACTGTCTTATACACAAACGAACGAAAACTAAGGGATCTAAATTACGTAGCATAACAACATATTTTTGACTATAAAGATATTAATATTAATATGACAAAGTGCGAAAAATGTGTGTTATAGAAAATCACATTTTTACCTTTTAGAATGATTTAACCAAGGATGGAGAGGCTAAGGATCTGAAGCACGTAGCACCTGTGGCATGGATGATTATATTTGGAGATGCCGTGCATAATTTTGTGGATGGTGTATCAATAGGGGCAGCATTCACAGAAAGCATTCTTGGCGGAGTGTCCGTATCTGTTGCAATCTTCTGTGAAGAACTTCCACATGAGCTAGGTTGCATTTTATGTACAATTTACAGCTGTTGCCAAGTATGATGAAAGTTATAAACGTCCTTTGATATAGTTTAAATACTGAAACATTCTTGATAAAAAATGCCGACACCATGCTAAAATCTCAGATTAATCATATAATTCACTTCTGATCTTATTGAAATGAAGAAATCTCTTTGATACGTTTCTAATTAAGAGTTTCATGTTGGATTAAATGAAACAAATACAACTCGAAGCGTGTTTATGACTACTAAGGGTATCAAACTTTAAAATATATTTTGTATTGATAATGAATGAATGTGCTCTTATATTTCCATACTTTTTTTCTGCAGGAGACTTTGCGGTGCTCTTGCACGCTGGAATGTCAAGAAAACGCGCTGTACTGTTCAATTTTCTCTCTGCCTGTACAATCTACATTGGTATGATCATTGGAATATTTCTGGGAGAAAATGTGGAGGCTCATACATGGGTATTTGCCTTCGCTGGCGGCATGTTTCTCTATATATCACTGGCTGACATGGTAACATCATATATATTTTTATTCGTTCTGATAGATCAATATTGTTAAATTTGATTCATTGACTTATCACCCTTCTTTATATCGAAATGCCAAATTAAACTCATTTCTTTTAAATATAAACATACAAAAACATCAATGCAATAAATTTAATTTTTGTACAGAAAAAGTAAAATACTGAAAAGAAAAAAAAATTACCAAAGACAAAATGTATAGAAAACACGAAATGCTAGTTATCATGCAGTCAACTTGACATAAGAAAATTATTTTCTTTATGTTTAATAACAAATAGTTAGTTCAGTTGCACTGAAGTCATTTGAAATCAAACGAAAATCTTATCTCAAGTTACAAACGGAAATGACCACCGTGATATATTTGCAAAGGGTATCAGTATGAAAGAAGCATCATCATCCTAGTAAAATTAAGTATTACTATGTTTTCAGATGCCTGAGATGTGTGCCGCGGGAGAGTTGGAAGAAAATCAAAGGCTAGTAGGAACATGGGTGATATTCATCCTTCAGAATCTCGGTATACTTGTCGGTTTTGGAGTTATTCTTCTTCTAGCTATATATGGTGGAAACTTGGAGTCGGCAATAAAAGGAGAAAAGTAAAGAATGAAAAAGGCATGCCTTTGTCAAGCATGCTTACATATCATAAATATGTGTTTTTTCTGTTGTCGAACAGGGTGCGGCTGAGCTCTAGTTTGCAATGAAGGGGAAACACGATAAGCAATATAGAGCTTGTCTTATATTATCATATTATCTTATATATGTGTAGACAATTATAACAAAATCAGTGATGTAAATTGTGATAAACTATGCTTCTATTGTTTCCACATTTCTTTTTGTAAATCAAAAAACTCTTTTTGTTTGTAGGATGATCAAACGAAATCTGATCAATTAAACTCATTTCAATATGTAGATCTATAGTAATAATGTGATCATTGATGTATGAAGAAAAGGGTCCAAAAATTTCACTTTTCAAGTTTATTATTTAATTCGTGTTTTTTTGTCAACAATTATATGGTCTTATTTAATTTACAATATGTCTCAGTTAACCAACAATATGTGCACATTTTAGTGAAACCTTCAAGACATATTGTACACGTACAAAGGTTTCTCTCTGCTTGTTTTGTAATTGATTCTAAGTTTTAAAAAGTAAAATTTAAAAATAAAAATAAAATAGTCAAAATAATAAATTAATTAGTTGTTTTATTTATTCATTTCAATAAATAATGTTTGCATGCTACTCGGATGTTATATTTAATAAATTACAGTGTAAAGGTTAAAAGACTTAAGTTTTGTATTAGATATAATTTAATTATACATTTCGGCTCAAAACCGCCGTTTGTAAGTTCACAAAGTAAACACTCATTGATGAGGTGTGCAAACTTGATGGTAGTTATTCATATTTTTTGTATTTCAAATAAACTGACTGCAATTGTCAAAATATAAAATATTGTAATAAATATTGTAAAATTAAGTAGCTTAGTATATCTTAAGGATATTAAAAAATATTTGCATGTTTCTTTATTCTTTGCTATTGTTACACCGTTCATAAGAAAACATATTCCGGACTACAAAAAAAATCTTCATTGAACGCCGCCTTTCCTTGTTGATCTTGTTTATCATATATTTCATTGCTATTCAAAGAAACATAAAACATTTCCTCCGCAGAAATATCAATATTTACAAATAATAACCATTTCTACTCCTATACTTTAAAATGAAACGACTGATAGAAGTTAACAGAATAATACTGACTTTGATTTGGTCTTTACGTCACACGGACACAGTATAGGTCATTTGACGACGTTCCAGCTTTACTGGTAGAAGAAAACCTAAGGTGCCCCTCCGTGCTTTTTTCAGGCACGAACGGGCACCTGATTTGAACCACCGAAGTTCCGTAAGGAAGCTGGATAGCTTCCTCTCATGAAAGAATCCAAAGTCCCTGTCGGGATTTGAACCCACAGCGGTAATGGGGCAAGTGGTTTGAAGTCAACGACCTTAACCACTCGGTCACGGACGCCCCTACTGACTTATTAATTAAACCTATTGAGACATTTGTAAAGTTCATGTTCGTTACTTGATAAATGACCATAGTCACATATGCTATTATCTTAAATCGCTATATAAAAACATGTTACAAATTTAAAATTAAAAGTTTTAATCAATTAAAAGAACTCTTAAAATACTGTGATTTTTTTGCAATCCAAATACCATTAAAATCATTACATTCTGAAAAAATGGCAATTATTTGTATAAAACAATAAATAATAAAAATGAAATAGTAATACATGTATTAGTAAAGAATAAAAAATATGTATAATATCGGGAAAATGTATTTTTCATAACAAGTACTTTTTATAGAACTATTACAGTAGAGTTGGCACACGAAAGCTTCCGTACTTTGTTAATCTATACAACGATATCTATACATAAACGCGCGTACTATTTTTAGAATTTGATATCATGTGTATTGATTTTCATATTGCAAATTTCATACGGTTTATGTAAATAAAGTCCAATATTTATGATGAAAGATAAGCGATACATTTTTAAAGTTTTACCTCCGAAACGAATGATTCAAGTTTACGTGGACCATGAATGATGTAATCAACAGGTTGGTTTATATATTCTTTCACATATTAAGATATTTAAAAAAAACGTATTTGCTAAAAAAGGAAACTGATTACACATACGTCTATTTGAAATAGCATTTTCAAGTTTGTGGTTTGGATGATTTTGGAATTTCAAAAGGTAATGTAGGTTACAATTACATTTTAATTTGAACTTTTAAAGGTTTTGTTTTCAGCTGCATTTTATCTTTTTAGAATTAATCATATAGTAGCCGATTTGTCCGTCTGTTCGTCCGTTATCTTGTCCGGAGCATAACTTGACAACACTTATAGATGATGTATTTAAACTTCACACAGTGGTAGAGGGCGTTGAAGCAGAGTGCAGTGTCAAAGAAAGTAGATAGATATTAATTGGTAGAAGAAAAATGCAAAATTACCATAACTCACCATAAGAACCATAACAAGAACCCAAACTCTGCCTTGCCTAATTTTGTAAGAGTTATCAACATGAAACTTTATAGGTAGATAGATCTGCAACATAACTCTAAAATTATAAGAAATATTTGTAGGTAGATAAATCTCAATTGGTAGAAGTTAAATGCGAAAGAACCATATCTCTATTTTACCCAGTTTTTGAATAATCTCTTCTTTTAGAAAAATCTAATCCGGGACATAACTCTTAAACTGTAAGGGAAATCAACATGAAACTAAGTAGGTAGATAGATCTCAATAGGTAGATGTGCAATACAGATGAACCCAAACTCTGCCTTGTTTAATTTTGGAGTTATTGCCTTTTTTCATTTCTACACTTTGAACATTTTCTGCAACATAACTCTAAAATTATAAGAGATATCAATATGAAACTTTGCAGGTAGATATATCTCAATGGGTTGATGTGCAGTGCACAAGAACCACAACTCTGCCTTGCCTTTTTTTGGAGTTATTGCCTTTGTTAATTTTTTCACTTTGAACTCTTACATTATAAGAGATATCAACATAAAACTTTGTAGGTAGATAGAAATATGCACTGCAAAAGAACCATTACATTATTTTGTCCTGTTTTTGAATTATCTCCCCTTTTAGAAAAATCTTATCCGGGACATAACTTTAAAACTATAAAAGAAATCAACATGAAATTTTATAGGTAGCTAGATCTCAATTGATTTATGTGCAGTGCATAAGAACCGTAACTCTGCATTGCCTAATATTGGAGTTATTACCCTTTGTTCATTTTAACGCTTTGAACTTTGTCCGGGACATCACTCGGAAACCATAACAGGTATCAACAAGAAACTTTATAGGTACAAAGATCACATTATGTAGAAGTCCAGTGCAAAGAACAGTTACTCTGCCTTACCTTACTTTGGAATTATTGCGCTTTGAACTTCGTCAAGGGACATAACACTGAAACTACAAGAGTTGTACTTTACGGTTTCAAAAACATATTCGGGGAGCATCACGGTTCAAACCGGGCTCTTGTTTTAATACAAATATAACTGTATTCCTAAAAATGTTGCCTTCGATACAACGTCAAATGTACACGCAAAAATTTTGTTTTTTATACAGTGGGACAAACTAGAGAATCGTTCAACAAAACATCAAGAGAAATCAAAAAACGATGAATGTGTTTACATGTGAAAATAGAGATGTTAAGAAGCTTTCAAGAAGATTGAGAAATTGTCTTAATCTTACTGGTATGTCGCAAGATTTTATTCGATACAGGGTATCATCCTTCAAGTCAATGGAAACAATGAATGCAATAGCAAATGTTAATAGCGGTTGCTTAGATGGATTTTATATTGGAAGCCAAATAGAAGGTGGAGCTTTGCTTGGTTTAGATTCTGACGCAGATATGATGTTTATTGATAAAGAGATCATCATAATCACTGACGTTGAGCAGTATAGGCTCTGCAATTTCAATCATAAAAGTCCTGAAGGCCATAAATATATTTTACCAAGGAAAAGTCTAAAAGATCCTCCAATTGGTCTTATTCATGACACTGATGTAACTCCAGGTTATGCAAAAGTTATAGCTTTGGACAAGAATACCTGTTTACCAGTTTCAAATGGTAAAGAATGTTCGTTATCACATCTCTTTGAAGAGAATGCAGACGGAACCTACTTGTTTTCGCACGAAAAGTGGAAAGAGAGAATAGCTTTAGTTACACCATCACGGTACAAACATGGACCTGCACTTTCAGAGGACTCTACAAAAGAGTTTAGATCGTCTGACTTTGTTTATGGACTAAAATCGTCGTTTTGGCCAAAATCTGCCGACGAATGGATAACTAGGGAACGAGCATGTCATTGGCCGCCACAAACAACAATTGAACTCACAAAAAAAGGATGTTTTCTTGTACCAGTTGGGCCATTGCCAGAAAGACGGAGTACTGAATGGAGGCTTTCCTTCACACTCTTAGAAAGAGAGTTGATATGGACATGGACAAATATTCAGTACCAATGTTTTATGCTGATGAAAATTATTAAAAGGGAAGTAATTGAAAGAAACGTTCCTGAGGTTATCTCATCTTACCATTTGAAAACTTTAATGTTTTGGATGTCAGAGGAACGGCCGTTAGATTTTTGGAAAAAAGAAAACTTTCATGTTTGCATTGTGCAATGTCTCAACAAACTCAGGGAATTTATAGAAAACGGATACTGTCCGAACTACTTCATTAGAAAGAATAACCTTTTCAAAGGCAAACTTTCTATTAGTACACAGAATCATATAATCACCATTCTTCATAAGTTTATAAAGAACTTTTGGACAGACGTGTTTCTGCTTTCAACAATAGAAAACGTAATTCCCGCTGTAAAAGATGCAGATTTTGATTGTTTTGCTGACTTACAAACGTCTTGTTTACAAAACACAACTTTGTTGACTGAAGTTATCCATCTACATTTTAGTGTGCTCATAAGCTTTGCAACATCAGCAATAAAACCAGCATACCAGCTGATATCTGATCGTGCACCTAATATATCAATAAGTAAACACGAAGAGTACCTGAATTTAATTTCACGCACAGAAATGTCTGATGAAAAAACTAAAAGCATTGTACAAGCATTATGTTTTACAGTATATATAAGTCTTGGCTCTCAGTGGTTTGCAAAGTCGTTAAATACCCAGTGCCTTGAAGAGAAACAGAGAATGGTACAATTGGCTGAAGATTATATAAGGAAGGGGAGCGATTTTGACACATCGTCGGGAAAACTGAAGTTGGCAACGATATACCTTGCTAGAGGAGACTTGAATGCTTGTCGTCATATTGCACATGAGGTTTTGTCAAATGAAAACACCATTTCAGTATCTGGTTTTGAGCCTGCCAATCCTGAAGATATTCCAATGGTATATGCATTACGAGTGTTACACATGCAGCCAGACTTTACCTTAGAAATACGAGAACGTTGTGCTTTGGATGTCGTGTTTCTGGCATCTGAAATAGAACTTGCTCCTAGACCAATACAATTTGAAATAAGTAGGGCTATAGACGCAGAAAAGGATCTTGACATGGATAATCCATTGAGATGGGTATCTATAGATGCAAAGTTCTATGCTCTTTTGTTGAAATTTTTAGTCGCACACGAACAAAATGAAATTATTGTCAGAGACAGAACCTTATCTGCCATTAGAGCATACGTAGCTATAGGGAGTCCTCAATTTGTGTGCAAAATCATGGCACTGAATATAGCTGGCTATTGTCTTCAACTAGTGGGTGATATTGATTGGAGTGTTGATGTTTTTCTTGGATCACTTCTTTTACAACGGTCTTATAACGCTGCAAACTGGCACCTAGCGCTCTTAATTTGGAATGAGTGGGAAAAGTGTACTAATAAAAGCAATAGTGCTTGACAGGAGCAGACTTGAAAACATTGATAGTTTATTGCTTAAAAAACTTTGCACAAAATGTTAAATCCATAACTAGTATACATGTCAATATATTATGCATAATATGTATACTTAAGTTTAATCAATGATATTATATTTTCGATCCTTGAAGATCGTTCAGCACGACATTATTGTTGTGCTTGTGGTATTTTTAGTTTCAACTTTTCTAGTTTGGTGGTTCCAATATTCCTACTTGAATAATGTTGAATCACCCTTAGGATATGTTGCCTGCTTTTTAAATTTGTCTTTTGACGTCTTATCTTAGATATGCAGGCTTCATAAACTCTGATCCCCTTTCAAAATTCCATTTTAATTAGTTCCGCCCATTGTTTTCTCGTTTAGGGCACACGCTTTTTATTGGTTGGGGACGCCTCAGGCTAATATGACAGTCTTCAGTCCAATAACAAGGCAATTAAAAATTTTTTTATTAACATTATAATAATGGTTTTAGAAAATGTAAGTTGAGAAAGTAGCTATAAATGTGAAAAATATGTTGTAAAATTAGGGAAATGTAAACAAAGAAGTGTTTTGACTTTCATACAACATATTAATGCACTATATCTATGTAAAAAGCCAAAAAGAAAAAAAAACAACAGATGACAAAAGTTAATCAATCAATTGGCCAATGAGTAACGTTTTGGATACTAAAATACAAATAAAAGCAGAGGGGGATCACATGACTTTGGATAGTAATACAAACGTCTGCAAAGAACCTTTTTACTATACGTATCATCTAGCAACATATTCTATGGCCTTCTACGATAAAAGATGTCAATATTATCGTTGATTTTGTGTTTTGATGAAGGAAGAAAGCTTATTTATATTCACTTTGGTACAAAATTATAATGTCTCGTGTAGATTATTACTAAAGCTACATTTGTTAATTTTCACACAGTTCAACCAATGTTCTCGAAAACCATAAAACGTAAAACAGTGCACTTGGTATTGGTATTTGAAGAAAGTTACCGTGTATATGATAGGCCAGGTCTAGTTTAATTTGGATTAAGAAAACATTTCTCACCTAACTTTATAAAATATGAACTTAACGTGGCTCAGAAGATTACTTTCCAAAGTCACCTGATTCCCCCCCCCCCCCCGGGAAAATTAAAAAGCTCTTGACAAATAAAAGCATTTCTGAGTCATAATAGGCGTTTAATGTTGTTTTTTTTTTAAATTTACGTCGATAATATCAATTCAAATGTATACTTAAGTTTCTTGAAGATAAATAATGCCCACGTCCTATCAAGCTGACATTACAGTTTCGACATTAACATTTCTTACTTTTTATGAGCATTTCCTTTTCATTTCCTTTAAGATTAGTAAACACGTCAAGATCTGTTCTCATATTTATTTTAACATTTTACCCCATGAGCATATTGTGAAAAATTGCCGTTTTCATTTACGATTTGAGGATCACTTTGTTGTGCTACAACAATTTGTGATTTTCATGTAGTCTCATGACAAAGATTATTTGGTTTTGTACAAAAGTGCGTTTTATTTACACTATCACAAAATAAGTTGTGTATCTCATTATCAAATATTTGACCTAAAAATGTATCAGATAGGTCAATGTCATGAATGTCCTTTTGTCACCATCAAAGGCTTTACTAACCGCTTCATCAATGGATGTCTTTGCCATAGCTCTAGTGACTGCACAATAAGTGTAATGATTGGGAATTTCCTGCTCAACAAAACTAGGAGTATTATTTAGGTTTGGTGTGTCAGTTAGAAGTGGGTTAACCACGACCTTATAATCAGCTAAATCATTACCTAGCAACAAATGATAATCTTTAAAGAGTATCGACAACTTAACACCGGTCAAGTAATTAAATCTGATGTTAAATAGATATTATGGAGTGGAACACTTACAAAATCACACTCAACACCCTGAATAAGGACACTATCACCAGAAGAGCAATTCTCACAAAAACTCAATGTCAAAATAAAAAAACTGAGAAACTCCTGTGTCTCTTAAAATCTAAACATGGCAGGATTGGCTAAAATCACCTAAGAGTGCACCAAAACCATCCGACATGAATGGCTCATAAATCACCATAACCAAATCAGATCAAACCAAATCTCTTGTAATTTTGTTGTGATTGATGCATCCGAGGGATCACTAAGTGACATTTACTCTAGGTTCGTTTACCTTTGTAAACATTCTATCTTTATAAACACAAGACTGTGAACCTGATTTTTAAGTGGTGAGACCTGTTGGCTTAGACTCATCATTTGCTTTTTGTTTTTCAATTTCCCACAGTTGCTAGCAAATGTGGCCTTTTTGTTTGCAATACTAGCAAGTCAAAGGAGAAAAGTGACTGGTGCTCTCATTTTGCTCTTTGAAATTCTTTGACTGGTTTGTATAACTTGTGTGGGCTTACTAATTTGGTTCTGATTACCAATTTCTTTTGAATTTCCAGATGTAGATTTAAGGACAAAGGCATGCTTATGAGTTAAAGAATAGTCATCAGCCAAACGAGCTGCTTCCTCAAAAGTTTCGACTTGTTTCTCATCTAAAAAGGCCTTGACATCAGAGTTTATGCAACACTTGAAGTCTTCAACAAGAATCAACTTCTGTTAATTATCATTATGCTTTTCAACTTGTCTTGACAAACAACAGCGATCAAACAATTGTTCTTTAATTCTCGTGAACACAACATGTGTTTGGCCACTCACTCTTTTACAGTTCCTAGACTTTTGTCTGTATGCCTCAGAGACAAATTCATAGCCTTTCAGAATAACCTCTTTGACATTATAATAATCTGCACACTGCTCAATGTTTAACTGAGTGTAAATTTTACGGGCTTTCCTCTGTAATAATAAAGGCAAGTGCCTGTTTAGCCATTTTAATTTATCTGTAACTTTTTCAAAATATAAAAAAAAATTATCAATATTATTCTCATCGAAAAATGGTAAAAGCTTGATATATCTAGATATTGCTAGCTATTATATAAGCTTGATTTACATTTTTATTAGCCTCTATTTTTTTCATTTGTAAATGAAATTGCCTTTCACGTCCTTTTTCCTCAAGCTTTAGTTCTTTTTCTCATACTCTTAATAATCTTTCTTGTTCTTTTCTTTTTAATAATCTTTCTTGTTCTTTTCCTTTTAATAATCTTTCTTGTTCTTTTTCATTCAATTATCTTTCTTGTTCTTTTTCATCATATTCTAATTTTAACCTCAATTCACATTCACATTCTCTTAATTTAATTACTTGCTCAAATTGAATTTTTCTATCTGTAATTGTAACTCACACTCTGATTTTTTTTAACTTATTAAAGAAAGAAAATCTTCTGAAACAATCTCTTCTTTTACCAACAATTTAATCAATCTATTTGAAACTTCTTGTTTTCTCATAGAAGACTTAATTTCTTCAACATTAAAATGTTTTGCAAGATTGAGCAAATCAGACTTCTTAGCCTGGGAGGGTTCTTTAACAAACTGTTCTTTATCAAAAGACATCTAAATTTGTTGTTTTGTTTGCCAAAAAAAATTTTAAGCAATATTTGGTTGACAGCTTAACGTCGCCTACACTTAACTTTTAATCAATATTCTAACACTCACGTGATTTTGTCACTATAGACAAAGAAGGAAAAAAACTGGTGTTAAACTGCCAATAAACACCGGTTAGGGACTATTTCTTATGCGCTGTTATGTTTTCACCCTCGATTGTATAGTTTACAAAGCATTTTAAAGCAACAATAAAAAGCATTTTTATTTATATTTTCAGTTCGTATAATGTTTTCTTTTCATACAATACCGAAATAATATCTCACATACACTTACGCCACATATTAGATCCATATCAGTTAATAAATATTTTGACAAAACGGCGCCAATCCATAAGCAGCGTAATGACGTCATCCTAAGTAAACAACTCATTCATAAACAAGCTGACGTTATTTCATACAGACAAAAATGATAAATGAGGCACTGATGTAAACACAGTACGACGTAAGTTTTTAGTGTTGAAAATTGATAAAATAACTTTTTTTCTTCTTATTATTTCTTTTGTTTAATAATTTCCATATCTTCGCAACAGTAGGGTGCGAAAATCGAACAGCGTTATACGAAAATCGGCACCGGAAGTTATTTCCGCTTGCAAAATAACATTAGTGATTTTCCTTATTTCATCGTGTTAGAATCGAAATAATATCGGCCTGAGAGGTGTATATCGGCTATTTTACACCGGTTTTGTCGTTTTGATGCGACAAAATTAACCACTCAGGCCTACGGCCTTCGTGGTCAATTCCTACGCATCAAAACTCCAAACCGGTGTTAAATAGCCGATATACACCTCTCAGGCCGATATTATTTCTTAAATGAAATACAAAATTCATGGCTTAAAACAAAATTCATTCCCCGGAAGAGCCCCCAATTCTGTTTCGAAACAGAATAGAGCAGATAACGCAGCAACAAATTTTACAATTTTTAATTAAGGAAATACAATTATTTCAATTAATACAAAATTTATGAAATTAAATTTTAACTCACAGTCCGAAATTCAATTGTCCACCACTGAAATTAAATCAATGTCCTAAAGTTTAACTCACAGTTCGAAATTCAATTGTCGAACACTCTGAGTAAACTTCACGATATCATAAGTATAATAGCACACAATCAGTATAACAACATAACACAATAGCACAAAAATTAGCACACATTAGCACACACCTCGAAGTACAAACATTCATCATATATAAACAACTTCGAGGTTATCAATCCTGCGCTCTACCTACTGAGCTTTTCAGGAACAAGATGCGAACAACATTTATAATAAAGCCTATATACATATCAAAATCAGCTAAAATAACTTTCATACCAATTCAAAAACCTATCACTGAACTTGTAAAACATAACAATCCTAAACATTTTTCAATATCAATTGCTGATCAATTATCATTATTACTGTCTTTTTAAAATATACAAATAGTCAATTAAGCTCAACTCGATATTCCAAAAATGAGGATATTGTCACTTTAATCATTCGAAATGAAAAATTAAGCTTACAGTCTCACATTTGGATTGGTACGTCGGATCAAAAATCATTGTACTAAACTTCGGTCAACAGTTTCCTCTTCAATATGTAGAGTATTGCAAAGTTGTCCTTAAGAACCCGGACACAACCTTTTAAAATTGTTTTATGAAACATGTTAGAGTTACTGATTCTTAAGATATGTTCTAATCATATTGTGATAAAAAATAACGACTGGTCAGTTTTCGACGACATTTTTTGAGTCGTTTTTAAACGGGATCAAACTATTTTGTTAAACCGTAACTTAAAATAACCCTCCGTATCTTATTCTTGTGCCAAAATCAGGAAGATATCCAAATATAACAAAAAGTAACAAAATAAATATTAAATAATAAACAAAAAAGTCATATATTATATCAAAAACTAAGGATGATCTGTATGCAATTACATGAAGCACTTGTTTATCTTTTATCAGAAAAATGCGATGCTACATAGTGAAGATCCGACAAACGCTATGTAAGCAACAAAATACACTGAAACTGCATAGTTTATTTGTTCGAGTTTGTTAATGACAGATACTGAATAAATGTAACATCTCTCGAGCCCGTTATACCCTGATGTAAGCGGTATCCAGTCTTCAATACAAAATCTGATCCCAAAATATTAAAAACAACAACACTGTGATCACGAATTCATTATTATATTTTTCACAAGATGTTTTATGTACACATTAGAGGTAGTTACAATTTTTATCATACGGCAAAACAATCATCTTATTAAAAGAATACCGAATACCTTGAAGTCTCCCTAGAGTTTCTTATCTTGAGGTTATTTAAATGATAACAGTGTTATACTTTTGAAATCAATGCCAAAACAAATATATATTTAAAACAATGTTGTTTAACGTAAATTGTCATATATAAATTAATGATTTCTTATATCACGAAAAAATAAAGTCTGTTATAAAAACACTTTAATCCATGACTGTTTTTAATAAAACACCTTTCAACTGATTTTAAACCGAACACTGTGATTCATTGTCTCATAGAACACTTTACTCCAATGTAACTTTTATTATCATTTTTAAGGAGTCCGACAATAAGCTGAAGAATGCATAAGGTCTGTAATCTAGGTTGCCGCTCGTCCGATCCTCGGATGATTCAGAAATCATGTGAGATTATTAGTCTGTAATTTGCATTCAGGACAACCGTTAAGTGGACCGACCACCGAGAAGTGACCAAAATGTATGAAGGCTATGACCAACATTACTTACTAGTTACTTAAAATGATACACGTAGATCCACTTTGCTTTTAATGAAGCACTTTTATACATTATAATTTGTCATAGAACACTTAGATCGACGATTCTTTTAATAAACACTTTGATCAATGTGGCTTTTAATCAACACTTAAAATCAATGTAGATTTTAACCATTTCATTTTGCTTTTGATAAAAAACTTTGATCCATGCTGCTTTTGATAAACACTGATTCGTTTTTACTTGTCACAAAACTCCTCTTTGATCCATTTTTTCTTATAATAAAACATCCACTATAACTTGCAATGAAACACCCTGATCAATTTGAATTGTGTACCGAGCGAATAGTTATTTACCTGTGTGCTACAAAAAAATCTTAGTATTCTTAACTGTAAATATATGATTTTTTTTCTGGGGATACTAATCCGTATTGATTTAAACTCTTCATTTACATAGGATATAATTTTCATGGGTTCCTTGACCTTGTGAGTTGATACTTACTTATAAAAGCTAATTCAATGCAAAACGACAATTAAGTCTATTGTCAAAATCATTCAAATATATGTATAATCTAAGAAACAATTTATTTTCTTAAATATGTTCTCAACCTCATATCAGTCTAAACTTAAACTTATCTGTTATTCCCCTACCTAGATATTTCAACAATCTCTTATCGTATATTTTTTTCCAAAAATACAATCCTTTAATAATTCCTTAAAGGTTTCTTATCAATTTCTTCTTTAAGAATATTAAATAAAGCATCCTTTCATAGGAATTTTTAGCACTGCGCACACTCACGTTGAAATATCATTATTATCTTTCCAATGTAATAAAAATTAAAATGTTTTTTGATACTGATTCTAGCAAAATCTTATAAACGTCTGCTGTCTGAAGACTATTGGGCGTAATAAATATACAATAAGAAATATAAACACATTTAGGATACCCTAAAATTATAGGTTTGATAGTAAAATGAATTAAATACCTACTCCTTATATTTTTTTATATATATGAATAGATTGTTATATTTTTTGAATGCAAACTTATAAAATGAGGAGGCAATCAAGTTACGTATTAAGGTACGTTTCCGTCACACTTTTGTTAAGATTTAAACACATTGATCCACTGAAATTTGTCATTTATAAAACACTGTATCTAATAGGAACCATTTAATTATGTTTTCACAGTTAAACCGAAAATATTTATATTTGCTTCAAAAATAAGAATTAAGATTATTGAAACTACATAGTTAAAGATGTGATTATATATAAAATATGTATAGTCCATCAAAATGCTGTGCAAAGGATTTCTTCCTATATTGCCTACATTCATGCTATGTAAAACATACTTTATCTACTTTATTTGAACAAAAAATACATTTGCATTATAGTCTAAACTTCTAGACACGAAACAGATCAATAAAAATATAACAAAATAAAGTGAAAATGACTTCAAAAGAGCTAGTAATTAGTTTTACAGTCAAGAACAATAACTCATAAAATGTTAACATGTGAGTGTGCTTTGGTTACGTCTCATACTATTACATGAATAGGTGCATAAATATATAAATAAATTCCACGCATGAAAAGGCATGTTGTGTAGTGTAAATAAACCTAGTTCTACATGTCAAATTTTGAGGTCGCAAACTTAAATGTAATGATTTAAAACAAAACATCGGAAAACGCAAAAGAGAACATTAAGACACTGTTTGGTCATTATAGCTAATTATAGTTATTAGTCATCTCATTAAAGGAAATAATCTAGTGATTAAGGACGACAAACATCTTAAGTCGGTTAACTAGCTAGCTTCTCAGATGCCCGATTGTGCCTGGAATTAAACATGGAAGGACTCTTGATTTATTCCTACACCAGTTTAACTAAAAAATCGCCTAAAATACAGTAATATATACTGTGTTCGTGGGACATTTAACTACTCCCCCTCCAAAAAAGAAAATCGTTAAGTTTATCTTATGATCTTATTCATAATTTTCAGAGACATATTAAATTTCATGACACAATAGAATTTCATTGTCTCTAATTAGGTTAAAAACGTAATAGATATTTATAGCAAACTGCTTCGTAAACTGTTTGAAAAGCGGTATTTTTTTTATCAAATTTGATATCCGCAACGAGAACCCACAGAAAAACAATATACCAATCGGTTTGATAAATGTTTCTGTTACATTTGATAACTTAAACAGTCATTCATATGTTAAAAGCAACGCGTCCATAGAATTGTTTATCTTAAAGAAAATTTTTCTAATTAGTAAATTGTTGTCAAATGTATAGATTATTTCATTTAACATACATTTAAACAATTGCAATCTACAAAAATTACTTATAGTCTTAATTGTAGAGACCGATGAAAACAAATGAAGTAAATTTGATTTTTTTTTCAGAGCGGCGTTTTTTCAATCATTTATAAGCGTTTCTTGATATACTTCCTGCTTGAGTAAGTACATGTAGTTCAGCAACAAAGTCAATAAGACGCTAATTAGGATTTTATCTTTAAAATATTTACAGCCGGCCGTGCCTCCTTCCCTTAAGCTGTTTAAATGTTTTCAGTATACAAGTACTTAGCTATATAATCGATGCAAACACATATAATACGTTCGATGCGATATTTCTACCCTTATCATAAAGGGAAATCTAAAATGAAAACAGTGCAGAATGATTATAGATTATATAATTGAACGAAGATTGCATATCAAATCGATCAAAATTTATTGTTGATAACACTTAATATTCAAAATACAAAATTGTACAGCATGCTTTGAAAATTGTAAAATACATTGTAATTATAAATAAAGTTGAAATCTGAACTAAAAAGGGCTTTTTATTGGGTCGTATGGAGGTTGCGTTCATTGAACGCCGCCTTTCCTTGTTGATCTTGTTTATCATTTTTTTACACATGAAAAAATAAAATACTATTTTCAAGATCGTTGTATATTGGACTTTATTTAATTTTACCCATGAAATATGGTGCTATATCAGTCAAATATATTTCATATTTTTTAAAAATAAATATGAAATATAAATATGAAAGTGGGCGGAGTCAAAACTCATATTTATTTTAAGGGACTTCTTTCGCCGTTTTGTTTGAAAAATCTGATAAATACAAAACATCTTTTTCTTGAATATTGTTATGAAAACTATCTAGAATGATAGAAAATGGTCTAACTAAGAAAATTAATCCGAACACCAATATCTTTAATTCCGTAATTAACGCTGTACAGATGTTTAAAGAGTTGTTTACATGACGTCACAATGTAGCGCCAAACAGCGCGTGCTTACGCATAAATTACTGCGCGCTGTACAATTGCGGTTGGTAGCCAGCAAGGGGATTCGTTACCATTTTCTTTGATAATGAAATTAAATAAAAAGGTTATTTTTTCGTTTTTTGTGAAATATGGTATATATTTTCACTCAACATGATAAAATGCCACATATTTTCACTCGCCGTACCGGCTCGTGAAAATATGTGGCATTTTATCATGTTTCGTGAAAATATATTCCATATTTCACGCAAACGAAAAAATATCCTCTTATTATTTGCGAAACATTAGATGTCATTTTTTCCCTATCATATTCAAATCAAAATAAATGATATTAAAAAAGAGAGTTATTCTGACGCAATTTTTATAGTTATTTCAAATTAAAATTAACAGTATATGTACGCTAACCATTAATAAAGACTTTGTGTACCCTTCTTTCTTAATTTGATCAGATAACTTTTCATACTTCAATTGTTCATTGAATCGGAATGGGTAATTATCGTTTGTATTCATTTATTTCAAGCTCGAAATTGTACACAATGAACAAAGTGACCTGTTACACAAACTCCGAAAAGGGAAGTTTTAAACTAGATATAACATTTGAATACAATAAGAACAAATCATGCCTTTTGTTTATTCCATGATTACAATTGCTAACAAGTAAATTAAGGACTTTCGGTTTCATAAATACCCTCTATCTGATACAGGAACAATTATTTACTCACTAGACTAGACAAAGCATTTATTATACGAGCTACAAGAGTTTGAAGATTTGGTAAACAGATTAAAATGTCTAAAACAATAAAATTCAGTGGCATCTGTGAGGATAATATTGAATTATCAAATGACCAAACTGTTGCCACATGGAAACCCGTTATTTCCAATGGATTTGCATTGACTGAATCTAAACTGCGACCTGGTGATGTTATGAAATTAAAAGTAGAAGGTAGCGGCCGCTGTGATGTTGGTTTAATAATGGGTAGTAAAGATAAAGATAAAGACTTCAGCTACTCACACGAAATACGGGTTCATCGAAAAACATGCGTTGTAAACATTCATCAAGCCGGCAATCAGGTAAGAGAAACTGTTTTCATATCGTTTCGATCTAAAGGACTCGTGATTTAATAGATGTTGAATTTAAGATACATAATTAAGCTATCCAACTTATGTTTAGGACGCTTATAACACAAAATCTAACTAGTCTTAATTATTAACGAGTATAAATTTACGATATCAAGTTACTGGTAAAGTTATTGTTAACAACCCATAACTCTTAAGATATTTTCATAAATCTTTGTAAACAATTTAGGATACACATAGAGATTTAATTTATTTTCAGGTTTATTTTGATTATGACCAGAGAAAAGAACAGATAGCAACGAAAAAGCAGAAGAAAATTTGGATTGTCGCTTGCATCCAATATGGTGACCTGTGTGTTGAACTTATGTCACAAAGTAAGGTACTCTAAAAATGTTGAAAGTAAAATTTATAAAAATATATATTTAAAACGTTGACAATTTGTTTTACATATATGTACTTGAATTTCCAAATTTTATAAAAGATTTTTAAATCGTTGAAAATATTTAAAAAAAGACTATTTAGGAAGCTATAAGCTCAGAGACACACTCTTCAATATTTTTTTCATTTAGATCATAAATGTGTTTATTTATTTGTAGATGGATCCTTATCTAAGTTCTGTTCCACGGACAAAGGGGAAAATGTAAGAATAAGTAAAGACAAATCAAGATGTGTCTCAATATGCAAAAATCCGGCGTCAAAGTGTTTCCTATCTGAACAGATAAGACCAATCGACAAAGTTTTGCTCAAATGTTCGCCGGTAACAGAAGGTGGACGCAAAATTTGCAAACGCGAATTAAAGTTACTCGTAAGTAACAAGAATCCACTACGTACCCAAAATTGTTCTCCAATTTTAATTGCAACACTGGGAAAACAAGATTGCGATGGTACGCTGATCGTTTACTCATCAGATCGCAGAACTCTCGAGTACACAACTCCATCAGGGGAACGAACTGCACAAACTTTACGCTTTGATATTACAAACGGGCTTTGGGTTACATTGGAGTTGTATGGCGTTGAGGTTGGTGAAGTACAGAAAACAACTGCTGAAAATATTGATGATGTCTGCGGAAATGATCAGGTAGACAGTGTATGTAATGATCTAAGAAAAAAAGACAAGGACCTTTCCAAACAATCACCGGACAAAAATAATGGAAATAACGATGGACACAGACGTCGTGTTTTCCGTTCTCAATCTGAACGAAAAGAAGCAACTAAAGAACATTGTAAAAACGAAAACGGTGAAAAGTTTAACATACAGCCAGGCAAAATGGACCTTGCTCGTGACATAGAAACTATTAACTCTATAATGACCAATGACTTAGTAGATGAATTGAACATACAAGATCGGTTTCCAGAATTGGTTAGAAACATTGATACATTGTCTTTTTGTGACCATCTGTTCGCAAAAGGCGTTGTGACCGATGAACAAATGGATGCCATCCATGCAACATTTTATAATAGAGGGAAAATTCAAGCAAACAGGGAACTTTTGAAAGCCATGGCAACCAAAAAAGTCGAAAAATCTCTGATGAAAGAAATTTTAAAAGAGGCTCAGCATCAACATTTGCTAGAGATGCTTTATCCCCCAATTAAAACATTTTCTACACAATAATCGAGAAATTTAACTACGTCAGAGGAACAGCATGAGTAGATTCTATATAGAATAATGATTTATTTGTAACAATTTACATGGTATTTTAAAATTGCATGTTGATATATGCCACATCTAAGTTATCATTGTCTGATTTTAGTTTTACTGTATATATTGTGATTGTTGATATTCTTAACATTTTCAGCATGTTTACACTTGGTGGTCATTTGTGCGCATAAATTTTAGTTGAAAATCAAAATTCAGCGCCTAGAGTCCACAAAGATTGGTGTATCAGGATGAAGTTCTTTTGATCAAGATTCAAAATTTTACCGATATCTCTAAATATATCCATTATTTTCCTTTTCTATGTATATAACAACAATGTGACTTGACAACTGATAATTTTAAAGAATTAAATAGGAGTTACATTGGCTCATTTCGTTCATCGATACGACAGCAAAATTTATTTTGAACCAGCATAAAACAAATGTCTCAAAATAGAAAGAAAGAAACATACAATACCTCTTTCTATGTAGGTAATAAACAAATAAACAACTACAAAGATGAAAAAGATAATAGACTTGATGAATGTTATGATATCAAGATCAGCTTATTCGTTACATATTTATTCGTAAAATTAATTGTATAACTTCTCTTTTTTTAATTTCATTTATTCTATGTCATATATACATGTATGATCATGCCTCTCTGATACCTGCGCATTCTCTTCTCACTTGAGCTCCTGTGTCTTAACAACATGTATTAAATAGACATATTAAATAGTAGAATAGTATCTGAATCTTGATATTATCCATACAGGGTTACAATGAATGACTATTTAAAGCTTTTAAAACATAAATAACTCATAAAAAGGTTTTTGAGGTGTAAGTAACTAACTTCTACATGCAAACTGCATTAGAACTTTTTTTAACAATCTTTGATGTACTCAGTTAAATAAAATCTTAAAATAAAACACGTAGGGGAGACATTAAAGATCCTGTATGTTTTTAGCTCGACTTTTTTTTTTTGAAAAAAAAGTAGAGGTATTGTTATAGTCAGGTCGGCGTTGCCGTTGCCGTACCCGTTGCCGTTGCCGTTGCCGTCCGAAAACTTGTACCTGGATCATAACTTTTTTATTTCTTGGTGTATTGTCTTCATACTTGGCCACAACAACCCTTGGGACAAGACCTTTCAGAAGACCACACTAACCTTGACCTTCATCCATAAATGACCTTGACCTTCCAGGTTAAAAGTCCAATTTTTGCTTGTTCATGCTGTTATTGGCTGTTACTTTGTTATTTTTGAATGGATTGTCTTCAAACTTGAACATAATAATCTTCAAGGATATCCCTTAAAAATAACCAGTCAGACCTTGACATTCACTCATCAATGACCTTGACTTTGAAGGTCAAATTATTGAAATTTTCATTTTTTTGGTTATTATTGGCTGTAACTTTGTTATTTTTGAATGGATTGTCTTCAAACTTGAACATAATAATCTTCAAAGATAACTGTTAAAAATATTCCGAAAGACCTTGACCTTCACTCATTAATGACATTGCCTTTGAAGGTCAAATTATTGAAATTTTCATTGTTTTGGCAGTAACTGACTGTAACTTTGCTATTTTTGAAGGGATAAACTTCATATTATAACAGAACATTCTTAAGGACCAGACCTTGTTGTTTATCAAACCCAAATTTGCTTGGGCTCTTTAATGACCTTGACCTTGAAGGTTATATTACTGAATTTTCTCAGATTGTGCATTTATTGGTGGTGTGTGTATGTATAGTATATGTATTTTATATATATATATATATTTTATATATCTATATATATATATATATATATATATATATATATATATATATATATATATATATATATATATATATATATATATATATATATATATAAATGTGTGTGTGTATATATATACATATATGCAGGTATATATATATATATATAAATATATATATATGCATGTATATATATATATACATATATAGATATATAAAATATATATATATATATATATATATATATCAAATATATATATATATATATATATATATATATATATACATGTATATGTATACATGTATATATATCAAATATATATATATCAAATATATATACACACACATACATATATACATATATATATATATATATATATATATATATATATATATATATATATAAATTGCGTCCTTTTTTCTATTTTTAGAAATAGCGTCATGTTTTTCTATTTTTAGAAATTGCGTCATTTTTTTGCTATTTTTTTAGAAATTGCGTCATTTTTTTTATTTTTAGAAATTGCGTCATTGTTGCTATTTTTAGAAATTGCGTCATTTTTTGCTATTTTTTAGAAATTGCGTCATTTTTGTTCTATTTTAAGAAATTGCGTCATTATTTCTATTTTTTAGAAATTGCGTCATTTTTGTCTATTTTTAGAAATTGCGTCATTTTTGTTCTATTCTAAGAAATTGCGTCATTGTTGCTATTTTTAGAAATTGCGTCATTTTTTTTCTAATTTTAGAAATTGCGTCATTTTTTTCTATTTTTAGAAATTGCGTCATTGTTTCTATTTTTAGCAATTGCGTCATTTTTTTCTATTTTTAGAAATTGTGTCTTTTTTTTCTATTTTAGAAATTGTGTCAGTTTTTTTCTATTTTTAGAAATTGCGTCATTTTTTTTTGCTATTTTTAGAAATTGCGTCATTTTTTTTTGCTATTTTTAGAAATTGCGTCATTTTTTCTTTTTTTAGAAATTGCGTCATTTTTTTTCTATTTTTAAAAATTGCGTCATTTTTTCTATTTTTAAAAATTGCGTCATTTTTTTTCTATTTTTAGAAATTGCATCATTTTTTTCTATTTTTAGAAATTGCATCATTGTTGCTATTTTTAGAAATTGCGTCATTTTTTTATTTTTAGAAATTATGTCATTTCTTTTTATTTTTAGAAATTGCGACATTTTTTCTATTTTTAGAAATTGCGTCATGTTGCTATTTTAAGAAATTGCGTACTGTTGCTATTTTTTGAAATATGCTTAATGTTTCTATTCATATATATATACAAAATATATAAACAAAACTAATGTGACAAGACAGACCAACTAAATTTATAAAAAGGAAACGTCAATATATGTTCAAACCTTTCTATGTTTGCGTTTAGAAAAAGTAAAAAGTCGAGCGTTGCCCCCGCCCGGCGGTGGCTCTTGTTTGATTGATATTGTTACTGTGTGTATACCACACTTGCAAAAAAATATATGTTTTACTATATAATTATGCAAATAAAACAATTTTCAAACATCGAACAATATGTAAAATGTGTACTGCAAATATGTGTGCACATTATATTTAATCAATAAATTATATGCATTCATTTCTTATTGGAAAATTTGACTTAGAATTTATAGATAATAAATTTCTAATTACCTCCCTTTATTTGCATGAAATGTTAACTTCGATAACATCTTTATAAAAAATGCGTATTGGAACTTACAATACTGACAAATCTTAATTTGAGCATCATATTTTTGAAATAAAACCATGAGAAAAAATGTGTTACAGGATCTTTAAAAAAAACTTTTTTCACATTTTAATAGCTTTTTCTAAATCAATTGTAGTAGTTCATATAAAGAGGAGGTAATATATAGTTATGCCTTCTCATTAAAAATAACGGAATGTCGATGGTTCTACTAAGATGCCCATTCGTGCGTAGAATTATACACGGAGGGGTACCAAAGAAACGTTTATTTGCCTATTTAAACATACAAAGCAAACTGTTGCGACATGGAGACATATTCTTGCGGATAAGCATTGAGCTACGGCCGTGTACTGTTGTCAAAATCGTTATGTTGGCTTAATAATGGGTAAATGAATTCATATCAAGTGATAGGAAAGGTTCATGTAAGCAAATGACACATATCTTTTAAAGTACAGAAAACAGTTGCTTAAACTTTCAATGATGCCTGTCAGCCACACCTGTTGGAATATTTTTTATCCCGAATAAGAAAGAAAATAGAGAAGAAAAGATAACCATTTGTATAAAGAATAAGATATAAATAAAATAAGTAATATTAAATCTGATTGAAAAAAATCCCGTCCTATAAAATTTTATTTTGAAACAAGAGTTAAGTGTTTACTTATGTTTATGGTAGGGAATTTAAATTTGAGAATTTTTGTTCAGTAATCGATACACGGATATACGCGCAACAATTTTGCTAATTTGATTTCGTACAATCCATTTTAGTGAGACAAAGAAAAATCTGCATCTAAATTTGCATTTGACATTTATGATTCGAATCTGTTGAGGTGCAAACGGAGCCAGATTCTCTGATCATCAGTAGAAATTTTTTTACGAACATGGAACACTAGAGACTAATTTGTTATCGCAAGAAATGGCTTGATAGTTTGCTGTCTGGGCAACATCTCCGTGATATGACTTGACCTTCTTATTAATAACATTTCGACCTGATTTTTTTTTGATTTTTTGGTCAATTTTTTTTTCCAATTAAATAACAAAATAATTAATAAATATATAAATAAATAAACAAATAGTTTATATACCTGTTAACATCACAGAGCTATTTATATAATAAAGATCTCCTAAAAGGAACATTATCAAGATACTATTTATTCAATCATCCAGTTAAGTCGGTAAAATTCCATTAAATAATACACGGGGGAGGAAGTGTTACACGAAGGATGGAGTTCTTATGATAACTTGTTTGGAGTTCTTATGATAACTGTCACGGAGTTCCTGGAAAACGTTACGGATTTCTGTGGAAAACTTTTCTATATACTTGGAGAACTGACGTGAAAAATGGTCATTTTTATCTTTAGATAGGGAGTTTGAGGTGCTAAATTAAACTATGATAATTAAGCTTGCCCTACATATTATATTATGTTTCAGAAAAACATTTTAGTCCATTTTTCATCGCCTTTTTTAAAAAAAGTCTGGTTGTTTTGAGTAAAATTTCCAAATTACTTGCTCATTCGTACCATTGACCTTTCATT